TTTTTCCCCCCTTTTTATCCTCAGGGACCAACTGTGGCAAATTTACTGCACATATTTAAAGCAATTAAGTGATACCTATTTTTCAGTAAATATGAAATGCATCATAACATAGCTATCACTCTGAAATGTATAAACAGACAGTTTTGGCAGGAAAATTCCAAAAGTCACATAATGTACACAGCAAGTAAATATTTTGCCTATATATATTTGCCTAATTAATATACATTTTTTTAATGATTACAGGCTAAATAAATTAATAAAAAGGGCATAATAAAAGGCTAAATACTTTTATTACAAGAAAAAGCACAACATTCTAAAATAAATGTATTATTTATTTATTATAACATGATTAATGTGCTAATTTGGTGTGAATTGGTTTTAAAAGGAACAAATTTAACACGTGTAGCCTATTATAATGCAGTTATATAAATTCAAACATGAAAGACAGAAAAAATGACTATGGGTTTTACCATTCAAAAAGTTAATGTTGTGTTAAATACTGTCTGTTTTGATCAACAAAATTGTTTTGTTAAAAAGCAGTGTTTTGTTACTGAATGAATCCTTGGTTTAATGATTTTTAAATTATCTAAATTACAAATGATCTTTTAAAGGGTCATTTCTCAGCCAAAATTGATGTGCGGTTAATTAGATGAATTAATCGGCACATCAAGTAATTCATTAGAATAAAAAATGTAATTGCTTAAAAATGTATACATACATATATGGCTTCCTAAAAACAAACAAGCAATATGTCATCATTATCAGTGATAATGTGTTTGTTTATTTATGGTATTTTTATTTATTGATTGATTATTTTCAGGCTAAAGGCTTTGAGCTGAGTTACCTAGAGAAAGTTCCTGAGGTGAAGGACACCGTTCACAAACAATCTCTACTGCATCACGTCTGCTCCATTGTCGTGGAGAAGTTTCCAGAGAGTTCAGACCTCTACTCTGAGATTGGAGCCATCACTCGCTCTGCTAAGGTTAGCTTAAGTACCACAGCACCATCACCTTTGATTTTAGTGGACTTTCAGGGGGTTTTTTATGTAGTTTTGGGCCTTTCATTATATTTAATATGATATATATATATATAAAAAAAAATTATATATATATATATGTATATATATATATATATATATATAAATATAAATATATAGCATCTTGTGCTTCATTGGAAGAACACCTGACCTTTTGTAGTCATATGTTCAGGACACAAATGTGCTTATTTGATCAGTGACCTAGAAATAGTGCAGAATCTTATTTTGTCTTTGTAACATTTCTTTGTTTTAAATATTTCAAAAAAATGTTTAATTAGATTTAAAATCCCATATTTGCAATATCATCTCAGACGTTTGGACCCCAGTGTACAAACAATGGCAGTGTGCCATGTACAAAAGAAGAAATCAAGACTTCACAATTCCATGTGTTGTTGCTAAAAGTGAAGCATTGCTTTTGAAGTGAACGGACCAATCATGAGATGCCTTTGTTGATCACCTGTTGTCCTGTCTTCTTCAGGTTGACTTCGACCAGCTGCAGGAAAACCTATGTCAGATGGAGCGCCGCTGCAAAGCATCCTGGGACCACCTGAAGGTCATCGCTAAACACGAAATGAAACCAGCCCTTAAGCAGCGCATGTCAGACTTCCTTAAAGACTGTGCAGAGAGAATTATCATCCTTAAAATTGTGCATAGCCGCATCATAAACAGGTGAGATCTTTAAATCTATTTGCATAAACCCGATTTGTTTTTCAAGCACAATCTATGAGAACGATCAGGTTTTATGAATTTCTTTTGTTACCGTAAACCACTGAACAGCATTTATTATAAATCTAGATTGCTGTTAATTTATAAAATACATGTTTAACTTTAGGTTAATGTATTATGAACAAATGTGAATTAACAATGAACAGTTTATTTATAAATTAACATTAATAAAAGCTTTAAAAATGTATTTTTTTTGTTAGTTTACACTACCTGATATAATCTGAACAAATTGAACATTATCGATTAATTTCTAAAGCAATCCTTTTTCAACTTTTTCAGGACATATTATATCAGCACCATTAAGTTCCGTTGTATCTTCTCCAAAATAAATATTTCTGCTAATAACACCATTGATACAACAGATGACACAACCGCCAGACCCGGAGATCGGCTGAATGGATTCGAAAACGGTAAAACTCAACTGTTTAACTCTAGGGGAGTTGGAAAATGAGCCTATTTTCAAAAATAGTGGAGTGTTCCTTTAAAGCTGACTCTTGTTAAGTATTGTTTTTATGATAATTTTGTATATTGTTTTTAAAAAAAAATTAAATCAGCAAAAATATCTAGGTCACATTTTAACCCAAAATCTTTGCATAGTAATAATTTTTTTATTTATTTATTTATTATTTATTTCAATTTGGGGTAATACAGTGGTGTGAAAAAGTGTTGGCCCCCTTCCTGTTATGTGACAAACATGCAAAAAATAAGAAATCAGGAAGGGGGCCAACACTTTTTCACACCACTGTATATGACTTGGACAGAATTTTGGCAGATAAAAAAAAAACTAAAGATTTAGTGAAGTGCACTAGAATGAAGTCCAGGATAGTACATTTTGGAATTTGTTTCGAAATCTTGAAGTGCGAAACCAAATGCCAAAAAATGTTTTTCAACCCAACATTTCCTGCTCATCTTCTCCACCATGTGACTTCTTTAATTTCATCTCTGTAGAGTGATGAGGAAGAGGATGATGAGGTATGCGTGTATCTGTGTGCTTTTCTGCACTTGTGCATGGATGGGTTTCATGTTTTCTTTCTTGTGACTCCACTGACCTGTAATGTCTAGCATGTATTACCAGAGAATATGCAAGTTGTACTGTATCTAGGGATTCAGGGATCAATATTCTTTTCATTTTTTTGCGTTTCTCCATGTGAATTTGGACAGAAGATAAGAGCAAGTTAAACTACTATAAATGTAACGTTCAACAAAGCTGATGCAGTAAAGCTATTTCAATATCAACTCTGAATTAAAAGTCTGCTATTAATAATTCAAAACTATAATAGATGTAGCATTGATTATGTGGAACTTTCAATATGGAGTCTTGATGCACTAATAAACGACTAATGTGTGAATAATATACTAAACCACTATGAATAATGATGTTTTGGGGTGATATGTATTTTTTGTTTTTGAGTATGGTATTACTTTTAACCATATATTGGAACAATTCATATAAAACATATGTGTCTGAAGTGAAACTAATAGTAAATAATATGGAAATATGGAAAGCACTAATGTTTCACACAACCAAACAAAATAAGCATAAAAATGCAACTACTTGTACTGAGTGTCATTTTTATTTATGATAAAATAATGCCTTTATTATTTCTGTCCTCAGAGTGGGAAGTTTGCAGGAACTCCTCTGGAGGGTCAGGAGAGTCAGCCGCAGGGTTTGGGCTACACGGAGGACGCAGCTGAACATGAGCAGATGACTGCAGTACTTCGCACCAGCCTGCAGGGCGGCGACAGTCCGTCCTCTGTACTCCCCGGCCTCCGCACACGGACTCGAGCGACTCGAGGTATATTGTTCAGAGATACAGATACAGATGCTGACTTGCAGTAGCTGTACGAGTCCTTAAAGAGCTGAAGTCGGCACAAAAATTTTTAAACCAGTTCTCTCCTTCTCATGTCTCATGTTTCCAGGCCATACAGCACTTTTGTCTGCTGCAAATGAAGACACTTCTAATTGCACAAATGATACAGCGGATGAGATCATGGAACGCATTGTGAAATCAGCCACTCAGGGCCCCAGTCAGCGCACACAGCCCCGCGAGAGGAGACGCTCCAGAGCCAACCGCAAATCCTGTGAGTCTGCGGAGCCACACACAACTATGCCCTAATCCCTTCAAAGGGTTTACCCTCCAGAGGAAGCGTTTTGAAGGGTATTTGATTTAATAAAATAAATAAATAAATGTATTTGAACTAAAAACAGTAAAATGGAAATATTACAAAAAAAAAAAAAAAAAAAAAAAAACCTTTCTAATTTAATATATTTTAAAATGTAATTTATTCCTGTGATGGCAAAACTGAATTTTCAACATCCATTACTTCAGACTTCAGTGTCACAGTGTCATGATCCTTCAGAAGTAATTCTATTATGCTGATTTGGTGCTTAAGAAACATTTCTTATTATTATCATCAATGTTGAAAACAGTCATCGCGCTTAATATTTTTGTAGAAACCATGACACTTTTTTTCAGGATTCTTTGAGATATAGAAAATTCAAAAGAACTGAATTTATCTTTGTAACATTATACATGTCGCCTTTTGGTCAATTTAATACATCCTTGCTGAATAAAATAATTAGTAAAAAAAAAGATAGTCTATAATATATACTGTAGTAAATCATTTTCATGAATATTTGTAAACCACTACAGTTTAAAAGCTATTTGGATGTTTTAAATTAAAATTTTAAAAATATTTTACCACAAACATGATCATCCTTCTTGTTTTGAAAATAGATATGTTGTTATTTATTGATATTATGGTATTAGTTTGAATAGTGTCTACTATAATTTAAAAAATAATAGGAGTTTGAATATTTAAAATTCTCTATCTCTTCTCTCTAGAATATGTTTGTGTCATGTGTTTTCTCAACAGCTCTTCGTTCTCTCATTCATTTCCTTTTTAGTCACACTTTATTTTAAGGTCCAATTCTCGCTATTAACACACCATTAACTACAACTTTTGCCTCAATAAACTCCTTATTGATAGTTAGTAAGGTAGTTGTTAAGTTTAGGTATTAGGGATGCAGAATATGGTCTTGCAGAATATGTGCTTTATAAGTACTAATAAACAGCCAATATGTTAATACACAAAATCTAAAGTTGATTAAAAAGTTTAAGGCAACCAGCTTCAGGAGATTTTTGAGTTTTCTCAACTTCTTGTTTTCAGTTTATACAACAAAAAGTTGAGAAAACTCAAAAATCTCCTCCAAAAACAAGTGTTGAAGCTGGTTTTCTCAACAATGTTTTAGTGTATAGTGAGAATTGGTCCCTATACTAAAGTTACCCCTTCTTTTTCTCTACAGTAAGAAGAACACTGAAGAACGGCCTTACGCCAGAGGAGGCACAGGCGCTGGGATTGGCCAGCAGCTCTGAGATGCAAGTGTGAGACAGCATCCGCTCAGGGGACACACATCTAAACACAAATGTGCTGGAACAGGTCACTTTAGTTCCGAGTTTGCGTTCATCTGGAGCAGGTGCATGTTTCTGGGTTTGTGTTTTATGACGGTTATTACTGTGGACTATTTGTATTCTCACAGGTGAAAGGGATTATAATCACTAACCCATTATACTTTACTTATCCTGGGATGTGTAGTCAGACCTTACTCCATTTACTAGTTTATGCATTTTGTCCCAAGGTGGTCCGAGAGTGTCATTGAAACCACTCAGGTGCATGTTCACTGTTCCTGCGGACTATTAATGATATCCCAAACATCCATTTTAATGCATTTTTAAAAGAGAACAAGCACAGTTGCAGTGCAACTTCCTGATGCACATCATTTATAGACGCTCACACACAGCCTGCAGAATATTGATTGTCCAGTTCTCCAGTATAGAGACTAATGTCTGTCTCTAACCGCTGCGGCCTTCAGAATGATCCCAAAGAACTGTGTTTGAAGATGACTGGATGCCCTCTCACCATTTTTGTTAGTACTGGCTGTTTGGTTGAATTCAGGTGATAGTAGCACCTTCAGCATTCATATCTCATGTAAATCAGCAGTGTACCTTGATGGTACACTGATGTACCTTGATGTTCTTCTCTGGTTCACTGCTGTGGTAAAACGTGTTTGTTTTACCTGCTTTTAAAAAAAGCAGGGCTTCTTATGTTGCATGTCCAATTACTTTCAGATAGCTTGAAGCTGAGCAAGAGTTAAGGTTCTTTAATTTCTGCTGAAGTCTCCTTGTGTGATCGAAACCCGCTTAACATTGTTTAACAGATGATCAAATTACTTTGCACACAAATGCAAACTAACTAGAAAGTCGTCTTTCTCCTTCCCCTCCAGCTCTGTCATTTCCTCATACGTTATCTCTATAATAATACATTCATTGCATAACTTGCAGCATGCACATGAGTGCCTTGAAGAAATGTTTTTTTTTGTAAGAATTTGATTATTTGGTCAGGAAAGGAAGGCAGAGGGAAAGATTTTAGGGCATTTTAAAGGATTTATAGTTGACCCAAAAATTTACAATTCTGTTATTATATTATTATTCTAAACTAACCTGGATATAAATTGGATATTTTGATCAAGTTGTGAGTTAACATTCTAGTGATCAGTGAATAAAAACTTGTTCTGTTTGTCACTGTTATTATGACTTCAAATTATAGCCCACAAGTCATATGCACTACTTGTTTTGTTGCTTTTTCTTAACAATAGGTCAAAGTCCATGTATGTAAGGAAAAGAGCTGCATAACGATTTATACAGACCCACACCAGTCATATTGGTTTGGAGAGTAAATTAGCGAATGTTACGAAGGTGTAGTGATTAAACAGTCAATGCAACCTTTTCATTTTTTTTTTCATGGCGATAAATTTGATCAATCAGCTTTTTTGGGGGGGGGGGGGGAGATTTGACAGATTTACCAGAGACACGTCCACTGTCAATAATAGTAGTACCATTCAGCACCTTATCATGTGTAGCATGCAATTTCGAAAGGAATTGGAAAAATGTTTCACCTTTTTCCCCTCAGATTTTTACTCTGAGTATTATGTGGATAAGAGATTAGATACGTGTAAAGTAGAACCTTGATGTAGAGGCTAAACATGAGACAGATGCTGTACAATTGTGTAAATGTCACTTCAACGTTTTTATTTTTTGTTGTGTTCATGTTTTGTTTGTATTTTGTATAGAATAGTGTATTATAGGTCAAAAGCAGTGTTATTCTGTGAAAATTCTAATTTAAGAGAAAATAAGCCATGCATGGTTCAAACAATAACAATGTCAGCAGGCAATGTCTTTATTTTGTGGCTAAATGGCTAGAGCCTGTGACATCTCGATACCCTGTGAACGTAGATTTTGTTTCGTGTGTTTACGCAGCACAGACCTGAAACACTGTCATGCATCCATCAGCCCTGCTCAAATGGCCTTTGATATTATTGCACTCGCATACAGAGTTTCACCCATTGCTTCAAGTGCCATAAAACGTTGGTTTTGAATAAAAGATCGAGAATGTGAAAATTTGACTTCTAAATTCCAAAAGGAAAAGCATTTACTGTACTTTGCAATAAAAAGCTTTTACAGCAACACCCAGAACACGGAGTTGGACTCGTTCTTTCTTGGTAACTTGTTATTGTTTTCAGTTGAAAACATGATTCTGTTTAACCAAATTGCTGTGGGAAAAATGACTAGATACATAGACCAAAAATCTACAGAAGTCTGTTTGTGTGAGATAAACATTCAAAATGATGTCACATTGTAAGATGTAAAGGCACAGCTGGGAGATGTCACAATATCTGTAAAGTCACAGTTAAATACTTAAGTTTCTTGATATGAACTTGAAATACAGTCACAACTTGGAGATGAGTCACATTTGTGAAGTATAAAGTAGCACTGTGAGATGTAATGTTTCTTGTAATTGCAATTTTAAAATTTTCAAGAATTACAAGCAATTTTTTTAAAAAAAGTACAAGTTTGATATAAAGTCAGTGCAAGATACAAACTCATTCTGGGTCGCAATTACAAGAAAAAAAAATCCAAATGAAAAGTATAGACACATTTGGGAATACAAAGACGCAGTCCCATTTGTGATGTACAAGTAACATTGCGAGACGTAAAGTTGCAATTACAAAAAAACATTTTGAGAGGTATAGTTGCAATTCACAAGAAAAAGTTATAGCTGGGAGGTATGGTCATATCTTTGGAAGCCCGTTTCCGCCACTGAATACATTTTTTTTTAAAAGGTTATTGCTAATTTTTTTATCGCAATTGCGAGTTATAAAGACAGAATTGAGGGATTTAAAGTCACAATTCTGACTTTTTTTCTCAGAATTGCGAGATATAGTCACAATTATGACTTTTTTTCTCACAATTATGACTATCAGAATTGCAACTTTATGTCTCGCAATTGCGAGTTTATATCACGCAATTCTGAGAAAAAAAAGTCTGAATTGCGAGTTTGTATCACGCAATTATGAGAAAAACAGTCAGATTTGTGAGATGAAAAGTCGCAATTACCTTTATGAATTTTTATTCAGTGGCGGAAACGGGCTTCCATACATATCAGATAAGGCCCTGTCTACACTAGTGCGTTTTAATTTTAAAACGGCATTTTAAAATAAAAAAAGATCCTCGTCTACACTTGCATTTTCACTGCATTTCAGAAACGATCACCGTCTACACACACTACATAACCGAAAATGCATGTCACATGACCATTCATGCAGGTACAACGAGCATGACATTATTGTTTACATGGTCATCAAGGATACACAGACTGAGCGAATGGGCAGCCACGCCATCGTTTTCATAAGTCTCCGTTTTGGTCCGTTTACACTGAAACGCAACCCCGGAATTTTCTAACTAAAGTGGAGGCTGCCGCGTTTGCAAAAGCCTCCGTTTTC